GCAAAGCAAACACATGGGAGAAGTGTATGTTCATGTTTAACATCCAAGGTCATGCCATTTAAACAGTAAAAATCTGTGTACACACAGCGGGAAACCACAGTGCCGTCTTCCATATCTCTGCTTAAGCAGAATTCTTCATTTATTAACCAACTTTCATCTACAAAATCTACGATATAGACATGTGGATACAGCTCCATGACAGGTCATTTGTTAAGCCTACACAAGGCCCTGGGTTTGAACCCACCACTAGATAAATATTAAAGTGATTGGCGCAGTAAGGCAACTTTATTATTTTTTTGAATACAAAAATCCATATAACTCATATTCTGTGGAATCAAATCAATTTTTTTTCTGGCAGACAAAATTGACATCTTTAAATTTCACTTTCTAAAATTAAAGGCAACATGGAAGTTTTAGCATATGCTGTTAGCCTGAAGTCGGTGAAGAAGAAAATGGAATCCTTGATAAATATGAACCTAGGTCTTTTTGAAGGTGTCTTTGAAAGAAGCAGTAGGACAGAGAGTGATGCCGATCTTGTCTGAAAATGAAGCTCAGAGGTTTGTAATAGCCCATCTTCTAGATGGCAAGAATTACAAAAGTGTTTACCTTTTATTTTCCATTGTGAGATTTTTAAATGGAAAAAGGGAATCCAGGCTATGCAGGCCCCTGTGTGGTCTGAGAGGCATTGGGAACCATAGCCCAAGGAATATAGGACACGAACATGATGGTCTGTGTAACTGTCTGCTGTGAACTTTAGCAGCAAAGTTAAAAGAAAAGGACAAAGAAAAGAGCATTTGCTACCTCAATTTATATCCCAGAATCGCCCAAGAGGCTCTCTTCACAGGATCCTATGAAATAATGAGAACACGGGCAGCATTGCTCACTTTTAAATCTCTTGGTAAGGAGCATTTGTTATAAACAAAAAGAATGGCTTACAAAATCAACACAATGTCATCAATAAATATAAATGGTAATTTTCATCTATAGTTTATTCTGTATGTTAAAGATGATGAAAAAAGAAGAGAAATATGCTGAAATTTGTTGAAAAGTTTTTTTAATGGACTTTAAGTCATTTAAACTTTCAGAAAAGCTATAAACACCTGTCTTCTTTAGTGTGCCTTAAAATATTTTAGTCTCTCAATTTCCCTAAAATTAGGGTAATTTAAACTATAATGTAAAATTAGTCAAAAGTAAACAAGTTTGGGGTGATTATTGCAATTTATCTGAGGCATATATGTTTTTGTTTGTTTGTTTGTTTTGCTTTTCTGTAGCTTTGGAGGCTGTCCTGGAACTTGTTCTGTAGTCCAGGCTAGCCTAGAACTCACAGAGATACACCTGTATCTGCCTCCTTAGTTCTGGGATTAAAGGCATGTGCCACCACTGCCTGGCCCTGAGGTCTATTTTACTAGTGGTTTTATCATACATTTCTTCAATTCTAACAAAATCTCCCTTGGTTTTGTTATAATCATGCATGTAGTTTCTGTAAAATGTCCAATATTTGACTAAGTCTTTTCAAATCAATCTTATTAATGTTTTAAAAACCAAACTCCAAACAAGCTATGGTTAAGTTTTCTGGATATGCTATGTTTTCCTATTTTACTTATTTCTGTTCAGAAATATAAATACTGAGTCAAGAGATTCTACCCAATTTTCAAGCCAGTATAAACCACACTGAACCCCAAGAAACATAGGTTTTATATTTAATGCAATTTTCATTTATTCATAATTACAGTTAAATGCTCCAAGTGATATGACAAACTTTGGAGATTCCCCATGGAAGGCCCCACCCTCCCTGGGGAGCAGAAAGGGAATGGGGTAGGGGGGTGGTGGAGGACAGAGGAGGAGGGGAGGGAGAGGGACCTGGGATTGATATGTAGAACAAGCTTGCTTCTAATTTATATAGGCCTAGGTAATCTATTAGGCTTTGGGTAGTAGATCAGTATTTGTCCCTGGCATACAAATGGACTTTGGGTGCCCATACAGGAATGAGAGATGAACTCTCACCCTGGACTCTTGGGGGAGGGTCTAGACCCTGTCCTGGATGAAATGACAGACTGTGGACACCCCCATAGAGGGCCTCACCTTCCCTGGGGAAATGAGGGGGTATTGGGGGGGGGTGGGAGAGCATGGGAGGAGGGGAGGGAAAGGGAGAGGGACCTGGGATTGGCATGTGAAGCAACCTTGTTTCTAATTTAAATTTAATTTTTTTTTTTTGGTTTTTCAAGACAGGGTTTCTCTGTATTGTTTTGGAGGCTGTCCTGGAACTCACTTTGTAGACCAGGCTGGCCTCGAACTCACAGAGATCCGCCTGCCTCTGCCTCCCGAGTGCTGGGATTAAAGGCGTGGGCCACCTAAATTTAAATTTAAAAATAAAAATGTAAAAAAGAACAAAAATTTAACCACCACTGATAAAAGAATAATTTCATAAGAAAGCATATGTAAATCACTACACTTACAGAGATATACAAGAGGATTATAGATTTCCCCAAAGCTACTGATTAATTAAGCAATTTATTTATTTCTGTCCATTGCTGTTCATCAGATGAATCATGCACTGGACACCTGGAGGCTGACACACCAAGGGCTAACTTACACTGTGAAAAGATTCTCACCTAAATATCTACTCCATAAAAATAACTTCCCTAAATCTGAAAACTTGTACTCTTCCTAACAAAGCACAACCCAGAGACTGAATGACCAGGATCAACTGTAGCTAAAATCATGGCCAGACAGAAATCTTCTCCCACTGGGCTTTCTACTTCAAACTAAGGGAAGTCTCAACTTACCATGTTATCTATTGTTTGCTCTGTTATCAATGAGGCTTTCCAAGGAGAAGACTTCTCAGATTCACCATATTTTGTCATGTGTCACATGCATTACCACAGAACAATCAGAATTCCATTTTTTATCTCAGATTCTCAGTTTACACAACATTTGTGCCCTCACTTTTCAATGTCTCTCTGGATTTCAATTACTAAATTTCTAGTACTAAATCTTGGGGGGGGTCACACACTTACTGTTTATTAGTATTAAAGTGAGCCAAATTCTATCTCAAGAGATAGCCATCAGAAACAAAAATGTAGCATTTAAGAAAAGATGATCCAGGGGAATCTCTACAGAATTATTAGCAGACTTTGGCTGGTGAGACTAGTCACCATCAAGGCTTATTTCTACCCCTGTGACCCACAAAGAAGTAGAGGAGAAAAGATTCTCAAGGGTTTTCTCTGACTTCTGTATGCCCACAGTTGATATACTATTAAAAACATACATAAACCATACCCATACAAGTAAAAGAGATGTGTAAAAAGCATTAACTTTTGCAGTAACTTTCTATTAGAACCACCAATATAGTTACCACAAAATCATGGTCCTTGGTTAATTGTAGATTTCTTGGACCCTAAACTTGAACTTCTCATTTGAATCTATCGCTGTTAAGCACTATCATTACATAAAATGTGTTAGCATAACTCTCTGAAATTGAGTTCAAATTATGTCCCAGTGGAAAATAAGCGGATACTCTACTATCCAACTCATCTTCTATGCCATACAACCTTGCATGTTTACACTAAGCAATCTAAAATGATATATGATGAGCATTAGAGAAATTCCAGTGAAGATGTTCTCTTCCGGGACAATTTAGCTTTGGAAAAGTTTGTGAACCTTCTTTTTCTCTTGTTTCCTTTTAAACAAGCTTTGCAGATTAAATTTATACTGAAAAAAAAAACAACTGCCTAATAATATTTCTTCATGATTGGATCACAATATCGAGTGGCAATTCAGAATACAGTAATACTCGGAATTTCAATGCTGGGGCAGGACAAAGTAGCAGCAGACAATAGTCACTATAGCAATAATGTTGATATGTATGAGACCCATCTGTGGTCCATGCCACCCACGAAACACATCTCGTGGAAAACAAAGGCACATTACATTTAGTTGAAAGTGTCATCGAGTGAAAATTTTATCTCAATCTTTCCTCCCACAGTACCACAATTTTCTTTCAAGCAAAGATAGTGGACAGTTCAGCAAGATTCAGGTTTCTCATAGCCCTGGAAGAAGCTCAGCAAAGCCAGGCTAAGAAACAAGGAGCCTGAGCAGTAACCAGCTTGCATCCCAATCCACCTACATGCCACAAACACGCCTCCAGATCTGGAGCTAGAAGAGAGCCCAACCATAAAGGAATTCCAGTCAGTGAGGAAATCCCAGTCAATGAAGAATACTTTGGGGAACCCTTCCCAGGCTGCAGTCTGCCTCCCCTCCAACACTAGAAAGCTTTCCCAGCTCCCAGCTTCCTAGGCTCAGCAACCTCCTCCCGCCTGCCGGCTAGGGGCGATCTCTAGAGTTAGTCAGTCCACACGTGACTCTCGGTGCCCACATGACATGACCATGGGCGGGGGAGAAGGACTGAGGAGTGAAGTGGGGGAAAAAGTTACCGAACACTGGTCAAAGCGTCCAAACCAATTCGCCCCTTTCCTTCCTGGCCAGCTAGTGGCTCAGCGATCCCTAGGGTACTGCTGAGGACCGAGGAGTCTCCAACCCAGCTTTGGATATACTCCAAGCATTCTCACTTGTCCCAGTGCTCAGAGCATCTCCTAACCCCTCTAATGACACCTCTGCACCTCCAGTGGCTCCATCCTCCTTTCTCCATCCCCCCTGGCCTCCTTCCTTCCCCCGAAAGCTCTATATCCACTGTGGGCGATGCCACTGACGCACATTCTATTTGGCCCTGGAGCTCTGAGGTCAGACAAGGCCAAGCACCTTCCGAAGGGGAGGATCCAACTACACAAACTAAGTTGCCCGCCACACCACCACCTGGCTTAGCCCTCCGACTTGCCCCCTGCCCCGTCCCACTAAGGCTCCCATCACAGTTACAGTTCTCTCCGGACCCCACCCCGCGGTGGCGCAACGTACACCCTTCCAACACGCGCGCCCACCCTCGGGTTGCTCTCCCCAAGCAGGGGTCCCACCGCCTGGCAAAGCACCGAGCAAGCTGCGCTCACCTTGCTTGACACACTTGAGCCGGAGGGGGTCCTTGCAGTGTTTGATCACGGCTAGTACGTCCCTGATGGTGAGCCCCGCCACGGGGGTCTCGTTCACCTCCAGCAGCAGCTCCTCGGATACCAACTTGCTGCCGCTTTCATAGGCCACCTTGCCCGGCTTCACCTCCCCCAGGTAGGGGAACTGTCCGTTTTCGGCGCCCCCCTTCAGTTCAAAGCCCAGCTGGCCCTCCGGGTTCCTGCCAATGACACTCTCGTGGACTTTGCTAGTCCAGTGGCTTTTCTTTTTCAAGCTTTTGGACATGGCAGTAGGGTAATTCTCCTCGGTTCCTGAGGGTCCTTTGGGGAAGAGGGCTTGGGAGTCAAAATCGGGATAGAGGAGTCAGGGGGGGCAAGGGATGAGGATGGCAGACTTTGCCTTTCTCCCCCTCTGCTCCGCGCTTTCCCTCTTCTTTGGATGGAGTGTGGCGGACGGAGGGGTTGGATGAGAGGGACGGCTGGGCAGAGAGGTAGGAGAGCCTGGGTGAGGTTATGCTGTCCCTTGAATGACACTCAAGGCTGTGGCCCCGCAGCGGAGGAAGCTGTGGTGGCGTTGGCGGCGTTGGCGGCAGTGGCGGCGGCCGAGCCAGCAGCGAGCAGTGGCCGAGCTGGTGAGCGGGTGGCGTGGGGGTGGGGAGAAGGGTAAGGATGCCGGGGGCCACTCCTGCGTGCTGCGAGTGGGAGCGCGCGCGCGCTCGTCCGGCCTCTGTGTTGTTAGCCGATATCCATGGCAGCTGCAGTGGCAGCGGCAGGGAGCGCGTGTGTGTGCGTGCGAGTGTGTGTGCGTGTGTGTGTGCGTGTGTGTGTGTGTGTGTGGTGTATGCGCGCGCGTGTACTAGTTGTACTGTACTGGAGGATGCGAGCGGGCGGGGAGGGGGATGCGAGGCTAGGGAGGAGGCGCGCGCACCGGGTGGAGCACCAGCGAGGGCTTCGCCGCCGTCTCCCTCCCTCCGCGGCTTGACCCGGTAGTGAAGGCGGAAAGAGAGTCAGGCCCCGGGCCGCCCCGCAGCCTGCGGGAGGAGGCGACAGCCGGGAAGGAGGGGAGCCCAGGCCCGGCGTGGGCAGGCCGACGAGAAGAGCCAGGAGCCCAGGCTGGACTTGCCTTCACCTTCCCTGTGAGCCCGGGGCTCGCCCGCAGGACACCTCGCGACTTGCTCACACTCCAGAACCGATGAGGCAGAAATCCAGGGACCCGATGGATGGCAAGCCGGGTGCCTTGGTGGCCCATCTGCGGCAGCAGCGCCAGCCTGCTGCGGCTGATCCCGCCGCCAGAAAGCTGGAGTTCGAGGTTCTAGCGTGGGACTGCGGAGGGCCTGGCAGCCAGAGCTAGACTTCTCTGTTGGCTCCCTTCGCTTTCACTGTCTTACATTCCTTGCAAAGTTCCCAGAAGCTCCCCTCTGATAAGGGAAAGTTAGAGGAAGTCGTCCTGGCTGCGGAAAGAAGGTGACCAGGCATCTGCAGACCAGTCCATGAGTGCCCTGGGAGAGAAACTTGAGATGGTTGAATGAAGTCAGGATAGACTGCACCTGCCCTAGCTGAAAAGTAGCAAGGGTCGATGAGGGGAGGGGTTGAGGAGATAATTGGAGTGATGACCTAGACATAGAAATGGACGGTTTAACCCGAACAAGAGTCAAGCCTGTACCTGGGAACTAAGCCTTAGGATAATCAATAATCGGACAAGCAGGCCGCTCCCCCCACCCCCATACACACTCCGGGAAAGGCATGAGGTCTCTCGATGGGGCAGGAACTCAGCTCACTGTACCCCATTAAGCTCCTTTCCTTTCCTGCCTCCAAATTTATAGCCAGGAAGAAAGCTAAATAGGACACAGGGGCAGAGGGCTGCTGATTTCCCTAGTGAGACACTGAGTGATCTTCTCAAGTTCCTGTCGTTTAAATTTCACTTCTTAACTTTGAAACAATACGTTTCAGACAAGGAAGAAAAAGGAAAAAAAAAGTCACCCACTCATCTTTGTAAGCCACAGCATGGAAATCTGCTGCAGTTAAGATGTCTGAGATGGAGTGTGGGAGCCATGCAGTGCAGCCTGGAAGGCTTTCAGGACCCAAACAGAGACAGGGATGGGGGTGGGGGGGCTCGAACCCTGGCTCTGCTGCTTTCCAGGAGTGCAGTAATTAGCAACCTGTTCCCGACCAACAACGCTGATTGGGGCACGATGCAGAGAGGGAGAAAACTCGGGTGAGGCATGGAAATTGTTTGCCTGGCACAAGTTGCTTGGCTGTGAATGGCAGTTTCTTTCCTGTTCCCTTCACTCAGTGTTCGTTTCCCCACCACACCCCGTGGAAGGGACAGCCCAGGAGGTCAGAACTAAAGATCTTTTCAAAGGGACACACTTGCTTAACTTTGTGTCCTTTTCCACCTGAGAAAATGTGTCTCCTGTAAGCTGGCTCTGACCCGTGTGTGGGGGGTGGGAGGCGGGAGTTCCAGTCTAGGCTGGAGTGCCCAGGAGTCTGTGAGATTTCCACGGAGAGCCCAGTCTCACCCAAAGTTGGGCTAGGGATTGCAAAAGCACCATTCTACTTAAAAACTGATAACGAGCAGAATTTGCACTTCCACAACACCAGTGACAAATTACCATCAATGTGCATGCTAATATTTAAAGCTCCAAATGTATATCACGTGTTCTTCCATTATGTTTATAATATGTATTTCTTTGCAGGTGAGGAAAAAGAGGCACGCAGCGATGGAGTTTATCAAGCTGCATCTAACTAATGTGACAATAATTCCATCCATCCCGACCCCCTAGCTTGTCTTCACACCTTCACTCAGTCACTGCATTGAATTTATCCCACTCACCTGTATAATTTACCACGTGATGACTCAGTAGCGCATGACCTTACATTTTGCTCTTCTCCTTTTGTGGGAGAAAAGGAAAACAGCAAAAACAAGGAGAAGCTGTTTTGTGTAAGAATCTCACATCACCCTTAAGCCAGAAGAGCCATAGAGATCTCTGCTAGTTAGCTCAGGGCTTTTCAGCCTTGTATCCTGATACTAGAATCAGAATCTTCAAACGCTTCTCTCTTGTCATCCTAGGTTGTTCTTTTTTGCTTTGTTCTGTCTCTTTTTTGAATGACTCTCACCCTACAGAAGATGCAGGGTAAGTAAGAGGAAGCCATACTTCCCAGACTACAGATTAATACACTAAGTGGGGCAACAACACTCTCAGGGAAACCTACCTCAGGATCAGCAGAACAGCTGGTGAAGACATTTGTCAAGCCTACTCACTCGTGTTTGAGTCCGATGCCTCCAGAGTTTACCCACTCCTCACAGAGCACAGCGCCAGCCAGGCGCAGCTCAGAAACAAGTCTCTGGATTGTTTGGGGTCATCACTGCTCTTTTTTTTTCAACTTGACACAAGTAGTTAGGTTTTTCTGGAAGAGGAATCCTCCCCAAGTTGTTTTTTTGTCAAAGTGCTCTATTGCAAGCTGACACAGTTACTAATTGACACGGTGCTAGGCTTTGTCCTTGGAAGGTCCTACAGTGGTTCAGATGCTTTTCTTGCTTACTCTAGGATGTGACTGGCTTTCTAGCTGGTGGTGTGAAGAATTCAGTAAACTTTCACAATCTTACCAAGTATTCTGGACTGTGAGTGGCTTTTTCATAACTTTTTCCTGGAATGCAACTGGTATGTTCTCACCAACTATGTGACATCTCAACAAATATCTTGAGCATTACATGAGCCATGCCATATATCATCAGTCTCATCCTATTGTATGATGTGGGAAGTGAGGGCTAAGGGCTGGGTATTGTAAGTTATCCCGCCTTGGATTTGAATGCTATCCTACAGCCCTGTAGCTAGTGGTTATTTCTGTGTTCTTTAGTAGTCTCTTTTCTATCCTACCTTCATTTACTACACACACACACACACACACACACACACACACACACATAGAGTTACATATATGCTGTAAATTCATTTCAGTACAGATAATATGTATCAATATATATGTATGTCAATATTAAGTTTCACATCTAACACCTTATACATGCTAGTAAGTGCTGTACCACCAAGCTCTATTCCCCATTTGTTACCCCCTTAATATTCCTCGTATAAATATTTTTATATTTAAGGATATATTTATGTATACATATACTTATATGCATACACTAGCAATTAGAGAAGAAAGAAGACATGAATTTGAAGGAGAGCATAGGGGTATATGGTGGTTTCACAGGGCAAAAAGTAAAGGGAAAAATGTCATTATTTCTTTTCTTCCTTTTTTAGTTTAAGTTAGAAACAAGCTTGCTTCACATGTCAATCCCAGATCCCCCTCCCTCCCCCCTCCCATGACCCCTCACACCAGGCCCCCCAGCCCCCCACCCAATCTCCACTCTGATCCCCAGGGAGGGTGAGACCCTCCATGGTGGATCTCCAGAGTCTGTCATTTCATCCATGGCAGGGCCTAGGCCCTCCCCCAAGAGTCCAGGCTGAGAAAGCATCCCTCATTGACACATTGAGGTTTAGGTAGCCAAAGTCCATTTGTATGCCCGGGATAAATACTTATCTACTACCCAAGGCCCCATAGATTACCTAGGCCTCCTCACTGACACCCACATTCAGGAGGTCTGGATCAGGCCCATGCTTTCCACCCAGCCATCAATCTGGGTTCCAAGAGCTCCCCTTTGTTCAGATCAATGGTTTCTCATACATAACAACAACAACAACAAAACCCAGTTACACAGCATGGCAACTAAGATAGTTTTCTGAAGCAATGGTTCATAGACTGCTCGAAGCTAGGCTGCTAAATAAGTTTACCTTAGAAACCCATGAGGCACCACCTGGAAGGTAACTTCTCTCCCGAGGTAAATTTACCAAGCCTCTTTTAGCAGCAAGAAAATCACAGACATAATACCCACCTTGAGGCTTCTTTGCAAGATCTAGTCCAGTACTGACTAGAATTTGACCTGATATCACTTGCTTTTTTAGACTGATTCTCTCAGTAATTTTTACATACAATCCATTTCTCACAGTATGGTCCTATGGGACCCTGGCTTAAGAATTTTCTATTCATTTTTAATAGATGAGGAAATCTTCTCATATTCTAAATTACTTTACCAGCAAGGATAGGGTTGTGTGACTTTATGTGACTTTAAAGCCCTTAGCCTAGTTTACTTTTAAACACCTTCTTAGTAAGAATATATTGTTAGTTCACCTTTGTAAATAGAAGTGCAAAGAAAACTTGACATCTCATTGACCAAGAGACATAAATATTCTATCTATATGTTAAGAAATCTGCAATGCATGCAGACATGTGGCATTTCTGTTTGTTTCCTGTGTTTCCGTAATAGAGGTGGTTGTTTACAGCAGCACATTCATCTGTACAGTGTAGGACGGTACTTGGAACAGATCACTCTCAGTTACAGTTCAAATGTGAGAGCCTGCTCTTTCTGGAGGCTCTGGGGGTGTTCCTCTCCCTTTGATCTACTACTGCTTGAGATTGCCTGTGCTCTCTGGTTTGAGATCTCCTTCCACATCTGAGATGTGATCCCTTGCAGAGTCCTCCATGCATCCCATCACACTGATTCAAACACTTCCACTTTCCAGGGCTCCTGTGATTACACCAGGTCCTCCAGAAAAATCCAAGACCTTATTTTAGACTTAGC